AGTGTACAGTCTATTACAATTTATAAAATATTGTTTCTGCTGAGGAGGAGGGTTGATTTCCAGTTTTATGATTCTATATAATCACCGTGAGGCTTCAAGGGAGTCTTTATTTAGTAAGTTTTAAGGAACAGAAACTAAGCTGGTCCATAAGCATAATTTTTTCCCACTACTATGAACAATGTAAACAATACCTGAGAAAGATATGATAGAGAAAAATATACAGTATTTCAGTACAGAAATTGTGGTTGGCTCACATACAAAATTTTGCACAGATTTTCTTACTAGAATACATGTTTTATAAAAGTAGTGCAGTAATCACCATACTTTAGCAGGATTGTTATTGGCTTTTATTTTAAACAGGGTTTTTTTTAGAGAATAATAATATATAATCATAATTTGGTTTTTTTTATTGAGATCATTAATTTATGTTATGAATAACATATAGAATCATATTCTGCTGATTTGCAGTTGTTAACTTTAAAAAAAATTGTGAAAGTAGTTCTCTAATTTCAGATTTGCAACCTACTTTACCTCTGAAAGTAGATTCTAGAACTGTAGAATAATCTTAGGGGAGGAAAAAAATCCATTTCCCTTAATTTACTATAGAATACCATAATTTTTGATTGAAAGTACTAAATGTATTAGGATTCAGTTGGACATGATTAATTGAAGTAATTGAAGATGCCATCTGGAGAAATTAAAATCATCATGTTAAATATGCTATACATGCTGTCATTTAAGATTAAATGACATTTCAAAGTTACTCATCTTATATTTTGTAAATCCCATACTTTAATTTTGCTGCTTCTCATAAATATAAGAAAGCAAAAACCCCAATTCATCTTTTGTCAAGAGCATTATTCATTTGCAGCAGATTCAATGCACTGATTTCATAGAGGCTTCAGAACTGAGATTTAATTTACAATGCATCTTTATGCTTTAGCATAAGGAAGCTCATATTTTTTTCTCACATCTTGTACTGTGTTATACATCTCTCAGGTGGGTTTTATGACTTTTAAAATATACATTCAAATTAATATTAATATATGTTAGCCATACTTACTTCTTGCTTTTAACTGAAAAGCAGTTATAGATTCATCCTTTGCAGTAGGTATCTGTAGACCTTAGATGTGCTTAGTTAAAAATAAGGAAATCAACCCTGTAGGTAAACATTGTTTTATGCCAATTCCATATTATATCCAGACTATAAGATAAATACCACATGATTTAAATGAAACATACTACAAGGATTTGTTGTTAGACATCCGGTGCTTACATGAGTTCCATACATTGTCTGAATATAAAGTGACAATGCTTTGATCAAAACTAAATCAGATATATAAATCATTATTTTCCCCAATCTGAATAAGGAAAATATCTACAGATATAAATTATATTTTATTAATTTCTGGACTTTATTAAATACAGATATTTTAATTGCATGATAAACTGCTGGAACAGAATTTTGGTTATGGCAGTTAAGTGATTAATTGATTCATCAATTGGTTGTGAAAGTAAAGGATGGGTGCCCAAAGTGAACAACACATGATTGCTTTTTTAAACTCCAGTAATAGGTTTTTTAAAAAAAGTCCCTGTGGGTTTTACTCTGCTAGTCATCAACCATAGGGGGCGGTGCTCATCTCCATTTCAAGGCCATTGAGCCAGCACTGTCCAAAGACATTTCTGCAGTCATGTGGTTAGCATGACGTCATAGAGCACTATTAGCTTCCCACTGAAGAATCTATTTATCTACTCACATTTTCATGGTTTTGAACTGCTAGGTTGGCAGGAGTTGGGGTGAGGACCGGAGCTCACCCTGTCACGTGGCGCTCAGGTCTTGAACCTGGGCTGCTGGCTTTCCAGCTGACAAGCCCAGCGTGTTAACCACTGAGACACTGCACCGCCCACCCCCATAAAATATAGGAAGCCTGAAATACCAGCTTTTGCATTAAGTTCCCTTGAGGAAGGCAGGAAACTGTTGATTTCCTGTTCACACTTTTGGAACATCAAAAATTAAAGCACAAAATAGATGTCATAAAACTTCTAGGTACTTGAGGATTTCACTCCTTAAATTCTCCTACCCTTTGAAACAATGGGCCTGGGCCCCACTCACCTTTTGCACATCATGGGGTTAAGGGATCAATATATCTGTCCCCTAAGAACAGCTTTTCAAATGTTTCATTGATTGGCAATGAATGCACTTCAAGCTTTACTTTTCAATGAACTAGTGTTAACTTTGTCAAGGCTTTAGTTTTAAGCTTTCCATTGTTTGCCAATAGAATCAAGCACATTGTTGTTCACTCCAGGAATTATTTTCAGCTAAGCTGTATATTGCTCAATAAATCAGAATAAAATTGTCCAATTATTCAAATCCTCTTAATTTTTTTGCACAGCTTAATAAAAACTGACAGAAGCTGGACTGTAAACTAGCACATAACAAAGAATATTTTATAAAAATTAGCTCAGCTTGACAGACAATTTTTAGTTTTCTAATATAGAATAACAGTTGATACAAGGAATTACAGTTGATACAAGGAATTACATATTTAATAATAACAAAGTGCTGGCTTTCTCTTTTATACCAATATGAAATATCCTATCTAATTTCCCACATCTTTATCCAGATAGCTTCAGTTGTCATAAATTCCTATGATTCTCCTCATCACTTATGTGTCTTTCTACTCTTACAGCTTTTCAGTTCTTTTCCTATGGCCTATTAATCCCCTATTGTCCTGAACATATGCCACATTTTCTTTTCCCCTTGGCAAAGAGGATACCTATTCACTGCCTATAAAGTAAGCCTGTTATTTTTCTCAACATGTTGCACTAAAATAGCTCCTTTGGCTGCTGTGACAATTCTCACAAATTGAATCAATGCATGAACAATTCAGCAAGGGAGGGAAACTATTATGAAAAAAGCTAGCAATAATTGGGCTTTCAGGCAATAGTCTATCAATTGCATTACTTTTGAAATGAACATTGGAGTCTAGCATGATCGTTAGGCCAATTTTTCTTGAACTGTGGTAGGTGGCATATGGCTGGAGGAATCTCATAAAGTAAAATCTCTTCTGGATTCAGTTCAACTTCTGGTGGAGTCTGTGTTAATTTTTTTGCCTCAAAATACAGTATAATTTGCCATTGCCATCTTTTATGATAATCTTAGTATTCCCGGGAAGTGTGCAATCTAAATATTAACTAGGCCTGACCATGCTTAGCTTGCAAGACCAGCAAAATGCTGCCATCTACTGAGAGGAACTGCCTATATACTGTAATTCCTCACTTTAAAATATTATACTTTGCATTTGATTATAATATCACAATGCTTTATTTGCATTGACACAAAATCAGTGGTGGGATTCAATTTTTTTAACAACCGGTTATGTGGGCGTGGCTTATTTGGGGGCATGGCTTGGTAGTCATATGTCTGGGTGGGTGTGGCTTGGTGGTCATGTGACCGGGTGTGCGTGGCTAGCTGGTCATGTGACCGGGTGGCCGTGGCTATGTGCATGGGAACTACTCAGAGGGCTGAAAAAAGTCATTTCTGACTGGTCCTCGCACTTTTGACCAGTCCTCACACTTATGACCATCCTCACATTTATGCCCGTTGCAGCATTCTTAACAACCGTGTCACTCATTTCACAACTGCTTCTCTTCACTACGGTGACAAGATAGGGCGCAAAACATAAAATGTGAGGACAGTCGTAAGTGTGAGGACCAGTCAAAATGTGAGGACCAGTCAAAATAACTTTTTCAGCCCTCTTAGTAGTTCATATGCACATAGGGACTACCCAGAGGACTGAAAAAAGTGATTTCTGACAAGTCCTCGCACTTTTGACCGGTCCTCGCACTTATGACCGCTCATCATTTATGCCCGTTGCAGCATTCTTAACAACCGTGTCATTCATTTCACAACTGAGGTGCTTCATGTGACCGGGTAGGCATGGCCAGGTGGTCATATGGCATCGCTTCTTTGCCCTAATGACAGTTTGCTGCAATGGTCGTAAGTGTAAAAAATGGTCATAAGTCACTTTTTTCAGTGCCATTGTAACTGTTATAAGTCAAGGATTACCTGTACAAATGCTTCTTTGCTTGCAAAAAGCTGCCCTAAATACCAATCATTAGATTAGAAATACTTGCAAACTGGAGTTACAAATCAGGCAGGGTGCCAGAGCACCTTGAGGAATTAAAATAGTTAAAATGCAATGATAACTTATCAGCAGCCAACTCTTGCTCATAAAGTGAAACCCTTTAGCAGAGAGATCATTTAAGATCTCCAGAATGAAGCAAAGGAGCAAACAGAGTATCTGTTGCTTGTTAAACCAATTACCAGAACAAATAGACACAGGAACTAGTCAGATTTCTGAAGCTGCTTCTTTTCAGGAACAGAGATTAACATTTTTCCTTCCAAACAAAGCTGAATAGGGAAAATTATCTCATCACTAAACACAGGATTAAACATCACCAAGCACAGAATTAAACTTCACCAAAACCCAGTTTTAGACCAAAAATCAGAAAGGGTATGTAAACTCACATTTGAATGTCAATCTTTCTAGCTAGCCAAGAAGCCTTGCTGAATATCACTCATCTTGGTTCCTTGTCATTAAAAGTTTCTGCTTCATTATTTAATTATTTCTTCAAATTGCTGATCATTGCACCCTGGCTGGAAGAACTCCAACAGGGGAGTATTTCCTCCCAACAGTGGTATAAAAAGCTTAAAACAACCCTTCCCCTTTAAGAAAGTCAAGCAAAAAAACCCCCAAAACCTCCGAGAAACTCCGGAAGCAATAGTAAGTCTAGGCGTTACTGCCAAGAATGTAATAAGGATTAATGGAGAGGCAGTTTCTGTAAGCAGGGCAATAAAGATTAGGAAACAACAATTCCTTACAGGAATAACCCTGTAAAGTGGGAAAAAAGAAAAGGAGATTTCTTCTAACAAGCAGTTCTCCGAATTGCTTAACTATTTAACAACCGGTTCTACCGAACCAGTGCGAACCGGGAGAAACCCATCACTGCACAAAATCAGTTATAAAAAAAGAATGAAACTCAAACAAATGAGTGGGATGTTGACAGTTGCAAGAGAGCAGGGGATATGTAGAAGTTGAATTGTAAGGATCGCCTCTCCTTCCAACTTAAGAAAGTACGAACTCTTGAAACGTAGTTGTTCAAAAGGATTCTTTTATTAAGCAGAAGTGAAAACCATCCAGCTAAAGCACAATCTGAATGCCCTTAGGCAAAGCAGTAGGATTAAAGTGGTAGAGACCCCTCCCTTTAGGTCAGAATGCAGATTTCAGCCAATACACAAGTGTGAAGATGTTTTCTTTACTATTTCCTTTGAGAACCCGAACAAACATGCATTCCCACCACTTCCCTTTAAAGTGAGACAACCCACATGGCTATCATATAAATTCCTGCAGGTAAAGGGAATATCAGGCTTCCTTGGCGCCAGGATATAGGTTGTAAAATATCTGATGACACAGGCCATGCTAGTAAATCGAATCCAAGTCCCCACTTCCTTCACTTGAATGGCAGTATCACTTTTAGGGATCTGACATGCTACCCTCCTTAGAAAACAAAAGGGTCCACCTGTAAAAAAAAAACAAAAAAAAAAACAAATATACACAAGATTTCATGATAGTAGATCAACAAGGTTTGTTAGGGTATTGGGAGTGAAATTTTCTCAGTAAGATTGGAGCCCTAACGTGGTGTTTAGTGACCCATTCATTGTGTGCTGATGGTAAATGTTTCCAAGCAACTAAGTATTGGACTTTCCCTCTGTGGATCCTAGAATCAAGGATTTCCTTGATTTCAAAATGTTGTTCACCTTCAATCATGATGGGAACAGGTGGTGTAGATGCAGGTGGTCTGAGGGATGAGATTACTTCTCGTTTGAGTAAACTGATATGGAATACTGGGTGGATCTGCCTGAGTGTCTTTGGAAGAAGTAGTTCAACTGCTACTGGATTTATGATTCTAGTGATGGGGAAAGGTCCAATGAACTTTGGCCCTAGTTTCTTTGATGGTTGTAATGATTTCATGAATTTTGTAGATAAGTATACTCTGTCTCCAATATGAAAAGGTTTGGGTTCCATCCTTTTCTTGTCCGCTTGAATCTTAAAAGCTTCTCTAGCTTCCTGTAAGGCTAATCTAACCACTGGCCACGTGTTTTGCAAATTATCCATCCACTCCTTAAGTGAGGGGATGGTGGGTTCTTCTGTGGGTAGTTCAGGCATGGGGCTGAAATCCTGGCCTGTTGCTACTCTAAAAGGGGTAAAACCAGTGCTTGAATGTACAGCATTATTAAACGCAACTACAGCAAAAGGCAAAAGTTCGGTCCAGTTATCCTGTTGAAAATTAATGAAACATCTTAAATATTGTTCTAGTACCGAGTTCAAAATTTCAGAATTACCATTAGTACACGGATGAAAAGATGTGCTCAACCCCTGGCCAGTACCAAGTAAGCCCAAAAATGCCCTCCAAAAGTTGGAGGTGAATTGAGCCCCTCTGTCGGAGATGATCCTTTGTGGAGCACCATGAAGTCGATAAATGTGTATTAGGAATAATTTGGCTAAACTTTTAGCAGTTGGGATCTTTTGGCAGGGTATAAAATGTGCCTGTTTTGAAAATAGGTCTGTCACAACCCAAATAACAGTATTTCCCTCACTGTTTGGCAATTCCACGATGAAATCCATAGCGATCTCTCTCCAAGGCGTTGCAGGTTCAGCTACCTTCTGCAATAGACCTGGGGATTTCCCCTGGCGTCTTTTTGCTGCTGCACAAATGGGGCAGCTAGCTACATAGCTTTCTATGTCCTTTTTTAGTGATGGCCACCAAAATTGTCTTTTAATCAGGTGTAAAGTTTTCACAAACCCAAAATGTCCAGCTAATTTGGAGTCATGACACCGTACCATTAAGCATAGTCTTTGGCTTGCAGGGACATACAACTTCCCCCCCACCCAAGCCAAGTCTTCTTTCATCAGACAGCTGGATTTGTTGTTCAAAAACCATTCATCAGTGGCCAATGCTTGTTTAAAATTTTGGGTGATGTCATTGTCTGTCACTGTTTCTTGTTTTTCCTGGGATCTGGTGACTACTTTAGCGGCTAGTTGACTGTTTTGTACTATAGGTTTGATTATGTCTGACCTTGCACGAATGTATTGCGGTTTTCTGGATAGTGCATCCGCCAGAAAGTTTTTCCCCCCCGGGAGGTATTTTAGAGTAAAATCAAACCGTTTAAAGTACTGAGCCCATCGTACTTGTTTTGGGGAGAGTTTCCTTGGGGTCTTTAGGGCTTCTAGATTTTTATGATCAGTCCAGACTTCAAAAGGGGTCTTACTGCCTTCTAGGAAGTGCCGCCAGGTTAACAATGCCCAACGAACTGCATATGCCTCTTTCTCCCAAATAGCCCACCTTTGCTCAGTCTCATTCAACTTTTTGGATGTGTAAGCGCAGGGTTGTAGTTGGTCTTGCTCATTCTTCTGAAGCAGGACCGCTCCTATTGCCACATCACTGGCATCTGCTTGTATGGCAAATGGTTTCTCCGTGTCCGGGTGTTGTAGAATTGGTTCTGCTGAGAACAGCCGTTTAAGTTTTTCAAATGCTGCCTGGCATTCCATAGTCCAGTTCAATGGTTGCTTTGGTTTAGGGTTGTCCTCCCCCTTTGTTTTTAAGAGCTTGGTGATGGGGAGGGCAATCTGAGCGAACGCAGGGATAAACTGGAGGTAAAAGTTGGCAAACCCCAGGAAGCTCTGTAACTGTTTACGTGTGCGTGGAGGGTCCCAATCAAGTACAGCCTGCACTTTTAGAGGATCCATCTCAACCCCCTGGTGTGAAATGCGGTATCGCAAATAGTCAATCTTCTCTTGATGGAATTCACATTTGGAAAGTTTGGCATAAAGTTTGGCAGCGCAGAGTTTGTTTAAAACTGCCCTGACTAGTTTTACATGTTCTGCTTTGGTCTCAGTATAGATTAAAATGTCATCCAAATAGACCAGAACCCCCTTATATAAATGCTGATGCAGCACTTCATTTATTAACTGCATAAACACTGCAGGGGCTCCTTGTAACCCAAAGGGGAGCACCTTGAATTGGTAGCAGCTGAGGGGGGTGTTAAATGCCATTTTCCACTCATCCCCTTCCTTAATTCTGACACGGTAGTAAGCCTTCCTTAAGTCCAGCTTTGAAAAAATTTTTCCCTTTAGCGAGGTGTGCTAACATATCTTTCATAAGGGGGAGAGGATACATGTTCTGCACACTGATAGTATTAAGGTTTCAATAGTCAACACATAAGCATTTTGAACCATCTTTTTTCTCTCTAAACAACACTGGGGCTGCAATTTTTGGTCAGGCTGGCTCGATGAAACCCCTTGTTAGGTTTTTCTCAATGAATGTTCTCAGCTCTTCCAACTCCCTCGGTGACATGCTGTACATCTTGGGTTTAGGGAGTTTCGCGCCGGGTAAGATTTCTATTGCACAGTCAGTGGCACGGTGGGGGGGGAGCTCATCTGAGGCTTTTTCGCTAAAAACCTCAGCTAAATCCTTGTATTCTATGGGTATGCCCTCAGTTGGTGTGGCATGACCAGGCATGGCTGTTTCTCGATTCTCTGCTTTCTCAAGTCCTTTATGTGGATACTCAGCAAAAGTCACCTTCCTCTGAAATTTTATGATGCCTTGTTTCCAATTGATTTGTGGGTTCCATCTTTTTAGCCACGCAAGGCCCAGAACCAACGGCCATTCCATGCCAGGTGCCACTATAAAGGTAAGCCTTTCCTCGTGGCTTCCAATGCCTATATGTAGAGGCACGGTGGCCAGAGAAGCTGGCTCCCCTCCTGCTATTGACCCATCTAGTTGGCAGAAAGCAATGGGGGTTTTCAGCTTTCTTACGTTAATCCCTAACTTCCCTACTAAGGTTGGGCTGATCAAACAACGGGTGCACCCCGAATCCACTAGGGTGGGGATACTTATCTCCCTGTCCTGGTTTGGGATAAATAGTCTTAAGGGGAGGGTAAGCGGTTTAATTGGTTTGCTTACCAGTGGTTCATCATCTGGATCGCTTCCGAACGAGTGTGATTCCTCCTGTTCAGATGCCAGGGTTTCTTCCCCAAAGAGGGGAGGGGATGAGACTTCTATAGTCTCCCTGCTCCTCAGGGCAGTCTCCTTCCCACGCCGACCCAGTTTTCCAGGACCCTCCCCCGGTGGGTGGTTCCGGGTGGGTGTTTGCGAACGACACTCTGCAGCTCGGTGCCCTTCTTTTCCACACTTGAAACAGGCTGAAGATCTCGGGGAGAATGCGGTTTGTGGTGTGTGGGGCTCTTGCTTCCATTGGGGTGAGGATTTCTTCCATGTTCGCCCCGCTCGATACTGGTTTCTGGCCATATCGATCTCAGCTTCTTTGGCGGTGACATACCATTCATGTAGGTCATTCGGTGCCCCTTGGGTCACGCAGGCATTGTATAGATCATCACTCAGTCCATCCTTGAAACAGCTCACCAAAATATCTTCCGGCCAGTGCACACGACACGCGAGGTCCCGGAATTCTTCAGTATACTCTGCTACTGGCCGTCGCCCCTGCCTCACCACCTTAATGCGGTCACGTGCTTTGCGATCTGCCAGTGGGTCCTCGAACCGACATCGCAGGGCCATCATGAAATGGTCGAAATTCCGCAGTTCTGGTGCGTTGGCATTATGTAGGGTCACCATCCATCTGGCTGCGGCACCCTCTAGGGCTAGGGTCACAACTCGCACTCGGGAGCCTTGGGTTTGGAAATCACGCCCATACTCTTGCATGTAGGTGAGCACATGTGCCACAAAGAATCCTAATTGTTGCGGATTCCCATCAAACTTCACCCCAAGAGGGGGAGTTTCTCTTTCCAGCTGAGGAGCCCGGGGTTGGTTGGGAATGGGTGCCGATGTGCGTGCTGCCTTGGGGGGAGGGTTTGCTGGGTCTTCTCCCGCAGCTGCTGCACCATCTGCTTGATAGGCGGCCTCCAGGAGGGGGGTGCCTCCTCTGGCATCATCCATGACTGCTGCCCTTTCAGTGCTCTTTGGTTGTTGTCCTGGCTCCCTTCGGATGTTAAGATTTTCCAAAGTCTCCATCACCAATTGGGTTATATGCCTCTTCAGATAGTCCTCCCTCAGGGGTGCTTCGGTCAGCCCCCCCTGGTCAGTAAGGGCTTCTAGTTCCAGTTTCCACCCCGGTTTTCGGTTGCCACGGTTGAGGGTGACTCCTCTGGTTCTCTCATCCCAGCCATCTTTCTTCCCAATGCCAATTGACCAGCGGGGCTTTTCAGGATTCTCCAGGGTTACCTCATCCTCTCCGATGGGTTGCACGAGACAGGCATCCGACTGGGTGGCAGTTGCTGTCTCTCCCCAGCAATCGGTTTCTCCCAGCTCTCTGCTTTGTTCAGACATGGTTTGCAAGGTCCCCTCAGTAGAGCAAAGATTGCTTCTCTGGGTTGACCGTTTTGCAGATTGTGCTTTCTGTAAGGATTGCCTCTCCTTCCAACTTAAGAAAGTACGAACTCTTAAAACGTAGTTGTTCAAAAGGATTCTTTTATTAAGCAGAAGTGAAAACCATCCAGCTAAAG